GAAATTGTATATCATAAGCTAGCAAATATATAACAACATTGGTATTAGATGGCAATTGGCAAGTGATCGACATGGCCTAGCTAGCTTATTTTTATTTCCAATATTGCACAACATTGTGGCAAATGCAACCTTCACGGGAACTCTCATATGCGACCTCTTTTATGTTCGCTATTGATCGCCGACTGTCCAGATGCCGGCCGGCAGGACGTGACTCGTCGGATGTCGTTTTCTCTCTTCTCCCATTGGCCACTTCTCCGGTGAGGGGATTGTTTGGGCCCACCAACGTCATGTTCTCCGTCCTATTAAAAGACGCGGCCCACTAAGCCCGCTGTGCTAACAGTTAAAATTTTCAGTTTTCTACAAATAATAATATTAAAAAAATCCAGTCTGGCCTAGTGGCCTTGTAAATTTTTGCAACATAGATTTTACAGTTTATTATTCCAAATTTAGACTCGAGTTTCCCCCCACCCAATTAATTAGGCTGGAGAAGATGAATTACAATGTATATGCTAAAAGTTGGTGTAGTAAAAAATAAAAAGTTGGTGTAATCTAGTATTTCGATAAACTTCGATCAATCAATTATCATTTGAATATGACCGACAACCACAAGCTTATAGTACCTTCTCACCATAATACATATGAACTATTTTGTATCATAGACATATAACTACCATGGTAAAACTAGGATGGACATTGTTTGTTGTTTCTGTAGGTGCCACCAACACCTAATTCACCTTTTTATGCAATTTTGTGCCTATTCACTCCACATTGGGTTTTTTATTCGCGCAATAGTTGTAGTTATTTACACAGACATTAATAGTTGTTCACGCAATTTGATATTTATCCACGCATCCTAATATATATTCACGACATTGTAAAATCAATTTGGAAAATATATAAAAATGGATGTCATTGTGTAGATTATGATCAATGCAACTCATTTTAATTAAAAAAAATTGGAAATCCAAATTCTAACTCCATAAAATATGGCCAATACAAATTATTAGGGAACAAAAGTAAAAAAAGAATTTGGGTACTATTTCCATGATTAACCACAGTTTTACATGAATAAACACCGAATTACGTAGATAATCACCGAACGACGTAAGTCAACTTTGAATCAGGGTGTCAAGTCTCATACAACAAACCTTTTTTTCCAACTAGGATTTACATGCAACCTACTGAACTAGCTAGAATACAAAGACCATGAATTCAGAGCCCTGCTCTAGCTAGTAGTGTTGGATCAACTCAATTCATTAATGGTGCCCAACCACTAGCCAAGCAAATAGTTAGAAGAAAGACCCATCACATTCAAAACCAAAAAAATGGTGCCTTTAATTGGCAGCTTAGAGAAAGGATCTCTCTCATAAACTCATTCATAACCGCTCAGCTAAAAAAGAACCCCATTTTTGCTAGCTAAAAAGCTCGTACCTTCTGCATTGTTCACAAGTGTAATTCATGCAGTAACAGACTAACAGTCATATTTAAGCTGGGGGGAAAAAAGGCTCCTCAAATTCTTCGACTGAATTTAATAATACAAGGGAAGTCAGAGATTTCTTTCTCTATGCATGTTAGTTCGGAGTTATGTTAATCTTACTTGAAGTGGATCGAATACTAAAGTTTTATCAATTGATGATGTTTTAACTTGAGTAAAATGAGGTGTCTACAAAAATATAATCATGTAAAAAACTAATTAATACCTATGAGTTGCTGAGATCAACTAGTTCTGTACGGATTAAAAAATTTAGGCACGGCAAGAAATTAGGTGAAAACGCATATATTCTTTATTCATCGAAAAAATTAGGTTTAAGATCAAAAGATAAATAAACATAAGAGAATTGAAAAGCGATGACTCTCTAGTTTCTTTCACCTTGCCCTCTATGATAATTAAAAATATGTGTGTTATATGTTTGACCATGTCGAGCAAAACTATGGGTTTGGTGAAAGAGACCGATTTTGAGTTTTGGACTATGAAAACTTGTATATTTAACTATTTGTAGTAGGGGAAAACTAAGATATGATAATAATAATAATAAAAAAAAAGGATTCTAACCAATGACGATTAATAAGAGGAAAATCACAATAACAACACCATCAATTGCTTTTGTAAACAAAAGAAAATAAAGGATGTAAAAACGGTGAGAAGTTTTTATTTATTAAAAAAAGATAAATTAAGCGTGTGGGGAAAATGTTGAATTAGATGGAGAGTCGAAATAGAGTATAATGACAGTGGAATTAATTTTATGGACATTTTTAACTCCAAGATTAGCTAGGGACCACGTATAATTTAGTGCTAGTTTCACCTATGACATTGATCTTTGAAGGCCTTAAGAAGTGATTGAGCTTCAATCTGACGATGTTACCAGTAAAGCTCAAATATAGAGAGCGTGTTAAAGAAAGACATGAGTGTTAATACTCGCCCACCCTTCGGGTGGAGCCTCTCTCTAGGAGTGCTCATACTCGATAGTTACATGAACTTGTTGACACAAGGTATGAATTCGACATTGAATTAGTATAGCCGTTCGAGAGTTGTTTTGAAGTTGAGTTCATAGTGGAACAAATGTTTTACTTTGTAATATAACACTTCTTTAAAAACAAAAACACTCATTCTTATCCCTCTTTTAACACAAAAAATAATATAATTTATAGAATAAAAATTGCAGACATTACATAGATTTTCAACCTTGTTCCCATTTGTTTAACTAACCAAAACAACACAGAAAATTAGGGAGAAAGAAACCACACAAGAAAATAAATAACGGAAGTGAAATGAATAAAAAAAGGGAATCAAAATAAAATTCGTATTTGTCTGGAAAAATAAAAGTCTTATTTAATAGGTCCCCCAACATTTGCAGCACCACCCACCACTCCAAATTTTTGGCCCGTGATTTTTCTTTTTCACTTCCATCTCGTGATAGATAACCCATGGTCGATTTTAGTCACTATTTTTTTTTGTTTTAGTAAAGCACCAAGGAAAAAGGTGAAATCATTTTTTTTATGTCCAAGTAGGAAGTACATACGTAAAACTATAAACCTAATTGTCTTTTGACATTCGTGTTAGGTATTTCAGTGAGACATTTGAGTTAAGAAAATGGTTTAAAGCGAGACAATTAGTGTAATTGTCTCGTCTAATCGTTTCTCAAATGTTGTATTGATCTTCAAACATTCTTTGAACCTATGAATTGGTCTAGTTGGTCTGATATCTCATTTTGGAAGTGGAAAATGTGGCATTTTGACTCAAAGTAGCCCGTTTGAGTAGTTTTCATATGTTTGCAAAGGGTGCATACATATCAAAATGCATTGCTTTTATCGCGATATCTGACTCGAAAGGTCTCACTTTCTAGACACTATTTGGACATTATGTTTTTTTTTTGGCAAAATTTCCTCTAAATTTTCATTACCTCACCAATTTGTTTGCATAACTCTACTAAATGTTGGTATCGAGAGGAACTCGCTGGTCTAAGATGAGCTTCACATCTTAATATCATAACATGATAGATGAGGTTGTGATTCTAAATCTTGTCAAACTAATGTTAGAGACCGCTGATGAAAATTCACAAAAGATGATAAATGTTATTATCTCTCAACCCTTAAAGTTTGTATCATACTAAACGTTTTCTGTTTTTATTTATTTATTTTCAATTTTTTTGTTCTTAGATTATACTTAGCGTTAACATTAGACAAAGTAAGATTTTCTTAAATAATAAAAAATCATTGTTTATATCTTGGAGCTGCCTTTAATTGAATTTTAGTGTTCAAATTTGGTGTGGAACTGAGCTGGATCAAACCGAACCGTTCAACTTTTGAGCCCATCTTCTGGTTTTATTCTCATAGTAAAAGTTAAAACTAAAGACAAAGCACAATCCCAATGGTCAAATGGCGCCATAATCCAGCACCCTAATCCACCCTCCATCCCCTTGTTTGCACCTGACTTTTTGTTTTCTCCCCATTTTTGGTTCCTATTCCGGCACATAAACAAAAGTGGAAAAAGAAAAACAATTAACTTTTGATGATTATTACTAAGCTTGGATTTTTTCAAAATAAAAAAAGGAGCCATTCTCAAAGAGGAGGCAGACCAAACAAAAGGGAATACGTTATTTATTATTATTATTAATGCTAATATTTAAAGTTGTCAATCCGGTTTAACTCGTTGGTCCGTTCGTTCAGTGAGTCGAATGTTACAGCAGAATAATAATTCTTACTCTGACCCAACACATAGGCAAAATTCAAGCACACTCATATAATATCAATATTCAAGTATTCAATTTTCGAATTCTAAAATTAGAGTCAGGCAAGGAGAAAACCCGAAAAGAGCTGCAATTCACAAACCAAAGAAAAAAAAAGTTACATCATATCATATGACCTCCATTTCATGAACCTTGATGCGTGTCGACTCGCGGATTCGTGAAGGCCATTTTTCTCACCGGACTCGGGTCAATCTGATCGACCCGTGGCTTGATAACCTTCCTAATATGAAATCAAATTATTAAAATGCCCACAAAATTTAGAGAAAAAATAATAAAAAAATAGTAAGGGTCTCACAATGGAAAGGGATGAGGGATAGAATTTGGTGGGTTTTGAGCTGTGATTTAGCTGTCCTTTTGATATTTGCATTATTTCCTTCCCCCCTTCCCTCCTCCAATTCTCCATTCCCTTCTTCTTCTTCTTCTTCTTCTTCATAGCCTCCCTGCCTTTCTTTCACACATCTCCATAATCCCTAGAATCCATTAAAACCCTCCTCCCCCCTTTCTCTCTCCTCAACCCCCAAAAAACCCCACCATTTCCCCCTTCTTCCTCCTCCTCCATTCTCAGATCTCAAAAAATCTCCACTACCCAGAAGCCAAAACCCATTTCCCCACCCAACCCATTTCTCCAAACAGGCCAAAGATTCAAGCTTTGGCTCCTGTTTGAGAGGAAAATCAAAGCAAGAACTCGAAAGGAAAAGCCCCCATTGGAGTGGCACTTTTTGCTAGTCTAGCAGTAGATGTTGCTCATTTGAAATGAAGGAGAAGAATAATACCAATTTCTTCCCTCTTCTCCTCCTCCTCCTCTCCTTCGTTTCCCTTTCCCTTGTCAACTCGTCTTCTGATGCAGAGATCCCACCAGCCATTTCCAGCCATGGAACACTCACTCAAGCCGAGGTCTCCTACCTCCGCCGCCGGCAGCTCCTGTACTACAAGGACGAGTTCGGCGACCGGGGCGAGAACGTGACGATCCCGCCGGGCTTCGTCTTCGAGAACCCGAGGCTCCGCGACGCTTACATCGCGCTGCAGGCCTGGAAGCAGGCGATTATCTCCGACCCGTTCAATGTCACCGGAAATTGGACCGGCCCGGATGTCTGCAGCTACGAGGGGGTTTTCTGTGCTCCGGCGCCGGACAACAACACCATCCGTACCGTCGCCGGCATTGACCTCAACCACGCCGACATCGCCGGTTACCTGCCCGAGGAGCTGGGGCTTTTAAGAGATCTGGCGATTTTCCACATCAATTCGAATCGATTCTGTGGGATTGTGCCTCAGAAGTTCAGGAACTGGAAGCGGCTCTACGAGCTGGATCTCAGCAACAACAGGTTCGCCGGGAAGTTCCCCAATGTCACTCTATTGATGCCCAAATTGAAGTTTCTGGATCTCAGGTTCAATGAATTCGAAGGCACCGTGCCGAAAGAGCTCTTCGATAAGGATTTGGATGCGATTTTCATCAACCACAATCGATTCCATTTCGAGCTGCCGGACAATTTTGGGAACTCCCCTGTTTCCGTCATCGTGCTGGCCAACAACAATTTCCATGGCTGCGTCCCCGCGAGCTTGGGCAACATGACGAATTTGAACGAGATCATCATGATGAACAATGGGTTCCGGTCGTGCTTGCCGCCGGAGATCGGGCGGCTGAGGAATTTGACGGTGTTTGATGTCAGCTTCAACCAGCTGATGGGTCCGTTGCCGGACACGATTGGAGGGATGGTGAGCTTGGAGCAGCTGAATGTGGCGCACAATTTGTTGTCCGGTGCGATTCCGGGGGCGATTTGTCAGCTGCCGAGGTTGCAGAATTTCACCTACTCGGACAATTTCTTCACCGGAGAGCCGCCGCAGTGCCTGGCCTTGCCGGCGGTGGATGACAGGAGGAATTGCCTGCCGAATCGGCCGGCGCAGAGGCCGCCTGGGCCATGCCAGGCGGTTTTGTCGAAGCCGGTTAGGTGTAGTGCTTTCAGATGTGCTCCTTTTGTTCCTCCTCTGCCGCCTCCGCCTCCTCCGTCGCCTCCACCGCCGCCTGTTGTGCTCCCGTCGCCTCCTCCTGTGTACTCACCTCCACCGCCGGTTTACTCTCCTCCGCCGCCTCCACCTGTCTACTCACCTCCTCCACCTCCGCCAGTTTACTCGCCTCCACCACCGCCGCCGGTTTACTCTCCACCACCACCACCTCCATCTCCACCGCCGCCGGTTTACTCTCCACCACCTCCACCGCCGTCGCCGCCACCACCGGTTTACTCTCCACCACCACCTCCTCCTTCACCGCCACCGCCGTCTCCACCACCACCCTCTCCTTCGCCTCCGCCACCATCACCTCCTCCGCCTTCACCACCGCCGCCCTCTCCTTCCCCTCCGCCACCATCACCGCCACCGCCATCCCCATCCCCTCCACCCCCATCACCGCCGCCGCCATCTCCGTCGCCTCCACCTCCTTCCCCGTCCCCATTGCCTCCATGTACCCGTCCCCCGCCACCACCACCACCAAATTCACCACCGCCGCCTCCACTCTTTTCCCCACCGCCACCGCCAAACCCTTACTACGGCAGCCCACCACCGCCTCCCCATTCCCCTCCGCCCCCAAATTCCCCTCCACCGCCATCTCCGCCACCTCCTGTCTACCCCTACCTGTCTCCTCCACCTCCCCCGCCACCGGTCTACCTCCCCCCACCGCCTCCCCCATCTTCTCCTCCGCCCCCGCCGCCGTGTATAGAACCACCTCCACCTCCGCCGCCGTGTGTGGAAAATCCACCCCCTGCGCCACCAGCAATCCCACCCTATAAACCACCGCCGTCTCCTTCCCCACCACCACCACCGCCAATCCATCACCCATCCCCACCGCCGGCGCCAATCTTTTACCCATCCCCACCTCCACCGTCGCCAAGATTACACAAAAGCCCTCCTCCTCCACCGCCAGAGTACATGGGGCCATTGCCGCCAGTCGTGGGGATTCCATACTCATCCCCTCCACCACCGCCTTACTATTGATTCTTTTGAGAATTCCCTCTTTCTAACCCTTTCATCACAAAACAACAAAAAAAATGGAGTCTTTCGTTTCAGCATCAACAACTACAACTACAAAACAGCAATTCTTCTCTTCTATTATTACTCTTTTTGTGATGGGGCAATTCTCGTGCTTCAATTTGAGAGATGGAAATAAAGAAGAAAACTTTCAGGTATCAACAGCAAAGGGTTACAGTCAAGAGTTTCCAAGTTTCTCCTCCGGCAACCAAAATGGCGGTAAAAGGGGCTATCAATCTTCCAAGTTCATCACCGTATTTGATGTCTAGATATCATTTTCATTCCAGTAAGATTGGGGAAAGTATTCTCAATAGATTTATTCGAATTGTTCGTTATCACAGTTGAGTCCTAAAAGAAGAGTAATAAGGTACTTTCAGAGAGAGTTAGAGAGATCTTGCAGTGGGGGGAAAGTTTGTATGTATAGAAGGTGGGAATTGGGATGGAGAAGCACACCATGATCAGAGAAAAGAGAGCTACTTGCAGCTGCTGGGATGGCATTTTTATTGTTTTTCCTTTTTTTTTTCTTATTTATATCATACTTCTTCTTCTTGGATCTTTGTTTTGGTTTTCCTTCTCTTTTTTGTTGGGCAATTTTTATATAATATAGATCATGATGAACAATTCTTACTTGTATTTTGATCATTCCCCAGATTTTCATTTGTGTCATTCAGTCTCCTTCTAGCTACTTGGCTTTTCTGGTAGATGGTGTTCTTAGTCTTGTACATGTGTTGCTAGAAATAATGCCTCCTTGTTCTTCCATCTTTATAACAGTAGATAAGGTAACTGGGTTCTCGAGCAGAGTCAGCAATGGCAATAGATGTTTGCTCCGACTAGTTCATCTCGATAGCTCGAGTTTGCAGTATCGAACATTTCCCCCCTAAATCACAAACGAAATTGCTATGTCGGTCTCGCAATGTGTGTGAGATTATGTGATGGGGGAGATTTCACTGCTATCATGCCCACCATGGTGAATAGAATACGACTTAACAACGATTAGATCGTGTGTCTTGAATGATTTATCTAGTGCCTTATTTCCATTTTCCTCCTTGATTGGTGGTGGGAGAGGAGATTGATTAGTTTTGCGGGAATTGGGGCAGCTGTTTGAATTGGGAAAGCACTTTTTTAAAATGGAGATGGAGACTTTGTTGGGATTAGGATAGGGAGGGAGCATGTGCTCGCCATTGATGGGAGTTTGAAATTTTTTCAAACAGAAAGCAGATTTTAACATTGAATTACCTTCCAGGCCGTTAACTTCACAGCCTTAGCCTCTCTGATCAGAGGCTCTCTGTTGACTTGAATGGTCAGTTACTTCCCCATTAAAGAAGTGAAGAAAAAAAGGAAACAGAAAGCTCTGAGAAAGGATTAAATAGGAAACTAAAGAGTGGCAAAACAAACATGCTGCTCATAACTCTACTACCTCTGACTCAACCCCTCAAACAATTGGAGCTTAATGCTGCATTTAGAAGTCTATCAGTTCAGTTCACAAAATATCGATACAACTATACTACGATGCAAATACGACGATTCATACCTCCCCGTTCATGTAAAACTAAAATTAACCTAGAATAACTTCGATCCCTGATTGCGCTACGAGCCTACAACGCTACTCGTTTCGCCACTGAAGATCATTAACCGCGTCCATCTCTGCGACAACAAGTGTACCATGATAGAGCACAAATCTGTGTTTTAGGAAACAACATGCATGTTCTCTTCTTTTCTGTTGAAGGAATCAAAATATGTGCATTTCAAAATACACACAAAACAATCAAACACAAGCAGAAAAGTTTGAGAGTGAATTGGTGAGTGCCAAAATGGGTGAAAAGAACAGTAAGTGAATCTCCAAAATGACAGACGCAATCAGTGGCGGAGGCAGCATTTCAAAGCACCCCTGTCGTCTTTTCATAACTTAAATATATAAGTATCTAATAAAAGAATTATTTAATAAAAAAGAATTATATCTAAATAATTCATTCATAAATTAAAAATAACCGATTATACTATCAAAACTAGTGGGATTGCCATTGTCACTAGACAATTTCAGGGTTGTTGGGGAAAGATCGAATAGGCATAAGGAGAAAAGAGACCCGATTAGTTCTTTATTGCAATTGGAATTTCTTTTATTGTATAATAAATTAATTTTATGTCAATTTTGGACAAGTAATGAGTTGTGTTTTAGTGACAAAGTACTCTAATACTATCTATACGTGTTGTGTTTCATCACCAATATAAATATATATGGCGTATTTTTGTTCCACCGAAATTTACCCCTGTCCTGGGACAAGGCCAAAAGGCCCTGCCTCCGCCACTGGACGCAATCAGACAGACAGTCAACTTTACTTCCTCTAATGAAAAAAAACCCATCAAGCCAAAAGGCCCGCCGACGGTCCTGCAGGCCGGGGGCAGTTCAAAATGAAGAACACAGTAGAAAGAAAAAAAGGCAGCCATGGAAATGGAATTCTCGTGTAGGCTAGTGTAATTGTTCTTGGAAAGATAAGGGCCAATAGTGAAATGAAAGATACTATAGGGACTAGTCCTTTTTCACTAAGCCTGTTTCAAGAAAACTATGTGGACCACATAGTTACAATAAGTTACATTCTGGAGACAGATGTTTTCCTCAATCTAGATGGTGAAATGGATAGGATGATGATATTTATATTATTTACCCGTTTATAAAATTGTGCATCTCATGAACTTTGTCGCCAATTGGTAATCTAGTGATCTCTTTCTCACAACTTGCTGCCTATTATAATTATCTTCATCTGAATCTATTATGTGGAACATACAAATCGTAATATTATCAAAGGATTTCCTACTAATAAATCTATATAAATACTAATAATATTCATAAATTACTCATATTACTAAGTTCGTATTATCATAAAGATTAATAACATTCATAAATTATCCAAATGTTTCAAGTTAGATATAAAATAAGGTCATTTTGGTGTTCGAGTGCGGGCCGGGGGGAAAAAGTAGGTTAGGGTTTGACAAAACCCGTCGCCAATTTCCAAAACGAAAAACCCAAAGCCAACAAAACTCATCAACAATGCGTTTTACCCGCTTTGACCGGGTTGGATATCCATGGGTTCGGGTTCGATTCGCATCCCTAATCTCAATATGTTAAAAAGCTCTTATACCATTCAAGAATCCGTTGATCAGTTCCAATGTTTTTATTTGTCGGAAAAAGGTCCAAAAATGATATGATACAACAACTGAAATCAGATAAACAACTCTCAAATAAAACGATCAAGGAGAGCCCTATTCTCTCTTTGATCTTATAAGCTTGTATCCATGATCCATCCCTTCGTTTACCCAAAGTGAACTAAAAAGCACATATCTAACTTCCATGCCAACCCTAAACATGCAAACTTCGTCGAAGACTTGAGGAAGGACAAGAACAAGAGATAAGTGAAAGAGTACAAAACTCAAGAACACTATGATAAGAAATTGAAGGTGGCATGTTACCAAAAGGAAAAGCTAAAATGGAGTGGAGACATGTGGAGAAAAAAAAGGTGCAATGCTAACAAAATGGTCGAATTGCAAGGAAACTACGAAATACCCTTTCCGGCTTGAGTGGAGAAAAGAGCAAACAGGAAGAGATTTTGATCGATGAAAACATAAAGGAGTATCGTTGTGCTTTGCTGCTTTGCTTGTTTGCAGCTTTGTCTTATCCTTGTTAAAAGGCTTTATCAGAGGCATGCCAAATTGCAAAAAACACAATAGTCGCAACACACAGTAGAATCTCTTGTTTCACCGCCCAATGTCAAACTGATCGATGGATGAGATCCTATCTTTATCTCCACATGCAATGGTGGAGCTGCGTTGTAGTCAGAACTGACTACGATCCCTTTATTTTTGTCTAAGGTTATATAATATGTATATTCATATCGTGAAAAAACGTTAAAAAGTTGTAACATGAGGCTAGTAGTCTCCATCTTCTGATATTTAGATTCAATCGTGAAAAACTCTAACAATAGTAGTCTCCTATCTTCTAATATTAAGATTCAATCGTGGAAAGCTATAACAATTTGGCATTTTCCACCCTTCAATTGTAAATCCTAACTTCAGACACTAGCCAAATGTCAATTGGTTTCCCTTCACCAGTAGGGATCAATCTGTAAAAGTTTTGCCTACATGCATTTTTGTGTTTTTTGTTTTTGTTTTTAATTAACATGGATGGGATGGAAATCTTTCACCATGTTCCTGTGTTATTTTACAAGGGTGATTGGCATGGTTGTCATGCCAGTGGCATGCCGGCCGGTTGAACCTGGTTCAACCGGTACCGGTCATGAAACCGGCTGGAATGCCACCGGTATGATGCCTTGGTCAATACCGGTCAATTTCGGTCAAAACCAGTCAAAACCGGAAATACTGGGTGGTCCAACCGGAATTTTGAATCCGAAAATTCAAAGAAGCGTCATCGTTTTGGGGACGTTTCGCGAGTCAGAGTGTCAGACCCAACTCTTCCTCCCATTCAGCCGTCGATCGCTAACTCAACTCTGCTTTCTCCTTCCTCGGTGAACATCCAATCCTAGAGAAATCGACGGTCAGACAGGTCGCGGCGAACTCTGCAGTAGGAAGGCGCGGTGAGATCGGAAGGCGGGGCGGATTTGGAAGCTCTGCCTTTCTACTTCCTTGCGAACCCTAATCCTAGAGTTGTCGATGGCGATGCGAGCCGCGAGATCCAGAAGGTAAAGGCGAGAAGAGAGAGTAGGGAAAAAGGGAGAGCGGGTTGGATTTAGGTCGATGATTCGGAGGTGAGTCAGGCGGAAATTGAGATGGGATTATGGAATTTCCATTCTTGCTGCGAGAGGGATTAGGGAGTGCACATGCGTAATTATAGAGTTTCCAACAATGGATTTTATACTCTAGGTTGAGATGGGATAGAGAGGAATAATGGAGGCCTTAGGATTATGGAGTTTCCATCATTATTGTTGTTTGCGAGTTTCCTTTTTTGGATTATGAGA